GTGGGTGTGGGTGTGGGGTGTGGGTGTGGGTGTGGGTGTGGGGTGTGAGTGTGGTTGTGAGGTGTGGGTGGGCGCCGATCTGGATGTGAATGGGTATGAGTGTTCAGTTGAGCTACACTCACACCTACGTACACACCCGCACCAACACCCACATCCACACCCACATCCACACCCACACCCACACGCACACCCACACCCACACCCCACAACCACACCCACGCACCCACACCCACACCCTTTTTTTACCAATATGATCAATGCAACGAGCTCTACAAAGTTCTACAGACGAAAAAATCTTCTGAGAATTTTGTATTTTTTGTGGTTGATTACCCATGGAAGTAGCCATCAAAAGTACGACTTGCAAGCATTTTGTCGTTGATAGTACGGTCATAGACGTCTTTGTAAAAGAAATTAGAAAAAGTTAAAATATTTGCTAAATATAGTTATTATATTGGAGTGGACATATGATGCCGCTAGATATTTCATATATTTGGTATCATATTGATGATGATTGGCAGCTACATGTAAAATTATCTATATAAAACGAAATATCAGTTTCCAGTATATTGTCACCAACACTATCAATAATTTTACAGAATAAAATCGACTGATAGAAGTGAATCTTCGAACTTTTTATTTGCTTTTTAAACATCTTTTAAAATACCTTGATAGTCTAAGAATATTATGAAGTATTTCAAGTTAAATTTATAAATCAAGATAGTAAACAATTAATTCCGTATTACATTTTGGTGATGAAAAGTTTATAATATCTTTTTTTTTTGGTTTATTTTCTATTATATTTTAGAGAAAAGTGTCCCATTCTTTATTAATACAGTGCTAAGTGCAACATTTTTTTATAGACTTATGCAAAATGATTTTCTTTTCTCTTGATCTCTGAACTTTACCAGCAAAGATTTGTACTTTCTAATAGGAAGATCTTGAGAATAAAAAATCCAGAAATCATCCACTCAGGTTTAAAATCTACAATTTGTTTTATCTTTTTCAACTTTACATGGATATAAAATAAAAAGTGTCGCATGTGTCATACATTGCGACATAATGTACGACACATGCAACACATTCTGAAAGCGTGATTCGAATCTAGTATACAGGACATTTTTCATTTTTTTTTTCTATAAGAACAAATCATGATATTTTTTTTCACTTTAGTTTCCATTAATTTTTACCGACTCTGAAAATTCAAGTGGAAGAGATCTTGAGATCTGTCCCTTTCGAATTGGTCCAATTTTGATCAGACCGTTTTAAGGCAGTCCTCTCTTGATCATCGATCAAGATCGACATGTTTTCGAATAATAACTAATCGAGAAATAATTTAAAAAAAAAAGACACACAAAAATACATAAATTTCATATGCTCAATCGAGCTATCTATGTGCAACGGTGTCTGCAAAACAAGACGGTGAATAAATAGTCAACAGATAGAATGCTATACATTCTAATGTTGACATATTTTTGTGATAGAATCTGCGACACAGTAATTCGCAACACATTTTATTTTAGTGTGTAATCTTTATGCAATATGATTTCTAATTATTAACAATGAACTAGCTAGACTCTTATTATATTTATTGTGATGGGAAAGTGTAGACAATCTCTCTTTTTTTTATTTTTTGTTCTGAATTCTTTACTGAAAAATGCTGTCTTGTATGTTTCATAGACGGCAAGAAATAAATTCATTGTTAATATCAATCAAAAATAATGTACAGATGTTTGATAAAAAGGGTGACTTTTTCAATCTATCACATTCAAGATTTAATTTTTATGAGCGGCGTATAGCTCACACTCACGAGCGTGAGCTGTACACTTCTAATCTTTATTAGATATATTAATGTGGATATGCATCTTGAACTTTTTCCATAAGCGATTTAATATAATAATTTATGTATTGGTTATCGTATATATTTTTATATAATTACTCAGAAAAATATTTTATACAAAAATTATGCTAACAAAAAAAATCGTACCGAATAATTTTATATAAAAGTATATGCTCGTCCTGAGTGGTGAAGTAAGTGTTAATTTAGAAAAAATTATTTTTATTTTTATTTTTAGATTAGTTATAACATAAATCAAACAGTAAGCAATCGTTTATTTAAATACATTTTATCTTTTTTTTTTGGATTAATTACAACGACAAATCAAACAGTAAGTATTCATTTATTTAAATAAATTTGTTATTTTTATATTATTTATAACAAGCCAAATTAATCAAGGTATGTGATGTTATTAGTGTTGACATTAGAGGTATTCCCTTTACCATCTTTTCTGTTCTCTCTGTCTGTTCTGTTTTTTTTTCCTAATATCTTTGCGCTTTTTTCTCTTTTCGTTGGCCCGTTTCTTTCTTGTTTTTCATTTCTTCTTCATAGTTATTTAATTGAAGAACACGATTACTTTTTTCTATTGACATGACTTCATATTCATTCGATTTTATTCATTTATCATTGAAAAGTCTTTTTTTTCTCAACAATTGAAGAAGAAATTTAAAAAACTATTTAACAAAAAACATCGATCGAGCTCGATGGAATAGTATTTGTTGATAAATGTTTTGATTTTCTTTTCATTTTCTCCAAAGAAAATCATTAATAACTACAGTATTTAATCTTTGTCCTTGATCTTCAATATCTTTTTCTAAATGCATATTTTCATTTATTTGATTAACAAGATAACAAACAATTAAAAGAAATTCAGTACGAGTTTCTATTTCATCATCATCACAAAATGGAATTAATTCTTCACGTTTTGAAACATTCTTTCAATTTTGATCAATAAATTAATAGTCCTTCATGAGATAAAACTTGAGGAACACGATAATCAGCAAACATAGTTAAATCATCCTAAAAAAGATTTCCCTTTTTTTTCTTTTAAATAATTAATGCAAAATAAAAAAAAAGGAACTATATCAATAAAATCTCCTAAATCATGTCAATTAAAACATTCACAAATATCAGATATTAACATATACGTTCGCTTATAAAAACCAGCTGAAAAGAAAAAAAAAAGAAAAGAAAAGAAAAGATTTGGTTTATTTGTGAAAAGAGATGAAAACCTTATTGTTCTTGAGGGTGTAGATGTCAAATGTACCTCAATTCAGACCTACACTCTTAAATGTAATGCATTCTTGTATGTAAGTATTACTGTGTATTTCGCTCGTGTAATAGCACGAAACGCAGAAAAAGGCAATAAAGAGAGAAAGAAATATTGATAGAATAAAAAATACGCAATGATGAGGGCGTCCTTGTAAAACAGTTTATCTATCTAATCATAATGTCATGGTCGACTAATTCACGTAAATATGTACGAGTGGGTGAAAATTCATTAATTTTATTCATATTAATTATGAAGCAAAAAAGATTGCAAACACACAAAATAAATATCATATATTTCAATATTAATTAACAAGTATGTATATATGATTTTCAACATTACTAACTTCGCGATAAAATTAAACGTAAAAAAGCGAGGCTAGTTACAAATAACAAAACACCAAGAGACATGAAAATAAGACATTTTAAGTAACAGAAAGTAATTATCAGAAAAGCTTTGATTGACAACGCTCAGAGTATACAATCGATGGCCTTGATCGAAGCAGTTCTTTTATGTAAAATAGAGTTACTGATAACTATGCTAAACAGAATGACATTTACAATACTTATATTTTACCAAAAATTGTGATAGTAGATGACACAAATTTCATTCTTAGGAAGTCAGCAAAGCAGTGAAGTTAAGAACTTCTTATCGAATTCTTAAGCTCTTCATTCATAGAATTAGAGAACATCACAATTTTTCAAATACTCTTTTTCGCAGAATTTTTTCAATTTCACCGATTAACATATTTAGATTTCTAGGAACAACCTTTTTGAAATTAGCTCAAGTGAATAAAACTCTCATGAAAGAGGCATGTAGCAAATGAAATCGACCTAATTTGGCCTTATGTATATGTTCTAGTCGTATTTTTAATTCAATCAGAACAATAATATGAGCATATTCAGATGACTTGGTTTTTTTTCCAGGAGAAACTTTTAGAGATTATCTATTGTTTTAACACCATTATATGTATAGTATTTCGAGAAAGAAGCTTTTCATATTTCATTTTTGCTTTTGAGTTACATGTTATTTGTAAAGTGATTAGTAAAATTCCCCAATCTTCAATGTTTATCATCTCTGACAGATGCGACAGAGTGAATGCCAGTCTCAGTATTTTCACTATAAGTCCTTCAATTTTCAAATCCACATCCAAATAAAGTTTTCGGTATATTTTTTCATGCTGATTCTGAATATCATACTTATTATTCATAAAAATCAACTTTTGACAATTAAAATCTTGAAAAACTGGCTGTATTTTTGAAACTTTTGATGTGAAGGTAACTCTATTGTAAAAATATTGAATTTTTCACTAGTAATAAGAATGTCAAATGTCTAGTTTGTTAATATCATATGGCCACACTATCTTCAATATAGAAAACAGTGAAATAAAGCAAAAATTAAGATTAGGATAATTACGTCAGCTTCTTTAACAATCTTCTATAAGTGGTTGATTACCTCATAGCTGCTTTCTCTTCAAAAGTTTGAACTATAGTAATAAATTATCTTTTGTTTTTTTGCTTTTTTTAATTATTTGACAGACTAGAACTTATAGATTAAATAATGTTTGTGATGCACCAATGATGAAATCGGTTCAGTTTTAAAAAATCGCGAGCCAATTACATATAAATCTGATACTCTAATAAATTTATTAACTTGTATATTCAGAGACTTAAAAAATCAAAAAACTGCATTAAAATAATGAAAATATTCATTTTATTATAAATGAAATTGAAATGCATCACAATTCATATCCATTTCATTATGCGAGTGCATTTTTTTCATGTTTTTAATTTAAAGTTCATGAAAATCAAGACATTTTGTTGATTTTTTGAGTTCCTCGATGTTACAATGAAACAAAAAATTTGCACACTTTATTTTTATTGTTTTGTTCTCAAAGGCAAATTATTGAAGCAATCTTCATAGTAATTTCGATACTTCTCAGAGCTGCTTACAAAATTGAGATGCACGCAGGCTTTAGAGAATATAGATATTTTAGTTTTCTTTACAAAAAAAAAATAATTTTTCTATAGCGGAAAAAGTTTAGCATATTTTTAATGCTTTATCAATTTTTCGTTAACTCATAATAACTGAAAGTAGTCTTATACATCGTTCAGTATAAAATTTTATGGGCTACATTTTGGCATAAAGCATTCACCGTGACATTAAAACATTAATCAATTATTATATAACTATTAGTTAATTATTATTTAATAATAATTAACAGTCACTTAGTAAAATTCCACTTTGTTGTTAGTTTTCAGATATTCCATGAGAAAGAACAAAAAAAATTGAACAGAATTAACTAATCATTATTTCAAAGCAGACTATCTTAACGAGATTTTCAACTTTTTCAATTTTAACTAGTCCTAGTGTTTATTACGGTATGAAGTACAAAACTACAGAAAAATAGCTAAAAATCATATCCTAAATTATTTTTTAAAACTTAGAGCTATAACATTTGCACAAAAAATTATTCAAAGAGTGACGATTTGCTATTTCAAAGAAGTCTTACTTTTCAAAGCATCTTGATTTTGTTTAGATGTAAAATTTTTTTTTTTTGGTTTTTAAGTTAGTTCTTTCAAAAGTAATAAGTACTGGGACTAGTTAAAGCTGAAAACACTGAAAATCTCATTAAAATGGTCTGTTTTGAAATAATAATTCAATAGTTCTGTTTAATTTTTAAAGTTCTTTCTCATGGAATACGTGAAAATTAACAATAAAACGAAGTTTTGCTAATTGATCTTAATTTTTACTAAATAGTAATTAATTAATAGTCATACAGTAATTGATTAATATTTTAATATCATGGTGAGTACTTTATGTCAAAATATAACCCATCAAATTCTATACCGAAGGATGTATAAAACTTATTTCAGTTGTTATTGCTTTAACAAAAATTGATTAAGCACTAAAAATGTACTGAACTTTTTTCTCCATTTTACCTTGAATCGGATCGGCTCAGTTCCAAAAAAAACACAAACCGATCCCATCTCTGTAATACACTGAATAATAAGGTTAAATAGACAAATTTTCATGATAGGTAGCATTCATTAATAAAGTAATTCGAAAGAGAATTTTTATTTTATTTTATAGATGTGTATTAGTTGTATATACAGTAAAAATTTGATAGTTATTCATGCAAATATAGATGAGATATAGAACTCGATATGATGTCAGGGTCGATATTTGTTGATAACAATCTTTTTTCGCTGCAACATTGTTTGTTTTTTGCTAAGACTAAAAAAGTCTGCAGTCTGATTTTGTGATTTTATATTCTCAGATCAGTCACAATAAAAAATAATTAAAAGAAAAAATTCGACCAACAGTATAGGCCCGAATTTCTTTCTATGTCACAAATATGGATTCATCGCTTCCTTTCGTTCAATAAGTCAATTTTACTATACGAAAAAAACTTTTTGTGCAACTTCTGCCGTTCACAAGCATACATTAAATGAAGACATCTTGTATCATGAACGTTCTTTATTTCTCTTCTCTTTCTCTTTAAGAAAACATGGGATCAGTATTCTCGACTTTATCAAGTTCTACTTTGGTACAAGATCCAACTGTGCTCATCTTTTCATTGCTTATTGGCAGTGTTATTGCCATTTCCATTCCACTTCTAGCTTCTTCTTTATCATATTTGAAATGTATGGTGAAGAGATTTATTCGAATCCAAATACAAAAACGATTGGTTGCTTCAAAGTTTCGACCATCAGAGACAGATGCGTTCGTATCTTATTATCAAAATTTCCTTTGTCATATGCAGAAAACAAATAATGAATTATTAGCAAAGATTCTCCAGAACAATTGCTCATCTGTATTTTTCCGGAATCGATCAATTTCATTTCTATCTTCTCATCGTCCTTCATCTTGTCGTTCTGAAGAAAAAGGATATGCAACAATTGATGAGTTTCGAGAAAAAGTGTCATTCACTACATACGATGACTATTGCGAATATGTCGATCGAATGATTCTTAATGGAGGAACGGACATATTCTCTTCTCAAAAAGTCGTCTACTTTGCAAGAACCACAGGAACAACGGGAAAGGCGAAATTTCTTCCCACAACTGCGCCCATGCTAACAAATATTCTCACGACGATATGTCTTGGAATCGGAGTGATTTGGAGATCTCTTCCTTCACCATTTCCCTCTCCTGAACAACGAACATTCCTGCTGGGAGCTGAAAGGAAACCAGAATCATATGCACGGTCGAAAGACGGCACACCGCTAGCTCCGATTTCCCAATTTAGTTCAATAGTCACAGTGAATCCTATAATTAGAATAGTTAGGTCTAGTCTCGCTATTCTTTCGACTGAGTTGATGGGAGAAATTCCTGATTTTGAGACAAATGCATTAGTTCAGCTCACTTTTGCATTAGCATGTCATGATATATATTCCTATACGGTTACGTTTGCTTCAAGCTTCGTTCATACTATTAAAATTATCGAGAAATACTTTGAAGAGATGAGTCTTTGCATTGCGTATACTAATTTTGACCATAGCTCCGTTGTTCGAGACAATATTCAGGATTCAAAACTTCGGAAGAAACTTAATCGAGCGTTAAATGAGTTGACGGTTGAGTACGGAGGAATAAAATACCAGTTAGAACGAGCTGAACATATTCGAAAAGAATGTCGAAAAAAAGGTGCTCCTGGTATCCTTCATCGTCTATGGCCATCTCTGGTTTATGCAATGACGACGATAGGAAGTTCGTTTGCCGTAAACAAAGATGAGATT